GATAGTAAATTAGCATCTTGCAGACAGCAACAAGTATACAGAAGCATCTCCATTCTTTTGCCTTTCTGTAAGCTAAGTTTTCTACTATCTCTGTTCTTATGATAACCATAATCACCATTCTTCTCATTCAAACCATGGTAATTAAGTGCACCTATTTGCTAGGAAGCATCAGGTAAAATTACATGCAACTATGGAAATGTTTGAACATGCCACATTAAAAAAGAACTTTGAACATTTACTTTTCTACATGTTAATAAAACCAAGCCCTGCACTCATGTAAGAAGATTGCTTTCTCCCTGGTTTTAATGTTGGGATTTTAAAAGAATCCTAGGAGTCTAGTCTCACTGTATGAGACTATATCTAGTACTCACTGAATTTAATGACATAACTCATTACAGAATTAGTTAATCATTAACCACTCCTGTATTTTATATCATTTAAGGGTACTTTGATCTCTGGTGAAAAATTAAGACTGAAGGGTTGGGGGTTTTTTTTTATATTTGCTATCTACATTTCACAAGACCCTTTATTCTCTCCTAGACCTTGACAGCTTTGTACAACCATTCAGCCCAGATCAGTTGTATAAAAAGAGTAATATGCCCAAGATAGCATATTTAAACGAGATCAGGCATTTTTTGTTTATATTGTTTTGCTAAATCTCAACTGAAGATTCTTTATGCACAACTAGAATACAGTGCCAAATTCATCACTCTCTAGCACAAGTATAAAACATGTTTTATAAGTGAGAATTTGTTCCAATGCGTCACGATGAACATTTCTACATGCTCTTAAAACCAGAATGTACTTCATCCTTCATCATCCACTATTCTGATCTTGGTTTTACTAAAGTACCAGATATGAATATGTGCAAACCTCAATAGTTAGAAGCAAATAAACTGCACCATAAGTGCATATAAACACTCTCTGTTGAATCATGCAGTATGACATAGAGAAACAAAAGGAGATTAATCACTGGGATTAGTAAAAAAAATAACTGCAAAGTCTAAATTGAATTTGTTACAAGAAATTACTTGGCAAAGTATATTAGAAACAACAGGATCTGATCATCATTCTTTTTTTCTGGCTGAAAGGTGCTAAATACAGCTGCTACTCATGTGTATTAGAACATACAGAAAACAACCTTTAATCATCTTTCTTTTAACATGTATTTTCTTTCAATTGTTGTTAAAAAGTGGTGAGCTAGGACTTAAAAACCGTAATAAAACAATATTTCACCAACAGATGAAACATTTGAATGATATGCACAGACAAGAAGTTTTCTATAATATTTTCTAAGCAGACAATTCTTAACTGAAGAGAAGCTTATCTTGTAGCCAGGTTACTTTATTATTCTTCACCTTAAAAAAATAAAACCCACCACACAATATCTATTATCAGAAAGATCAGAAGGACCTTTTGTCATAACATATCTTTGTAGAGTTTAGCCTTGCTTGCTTAAACTAAGGATTTAGCTTTGCTCTTGAGTATATTTTAATTCCTACTATTATCAGTGGAGGTTATAGAATCATAGGTAAATGCTCAGCTTTGTTCATTTTTAAAGTTTCAGCACATTATTCAAAATTCCCATGGGACATGAGCAAGTGAGAAGATTATAAAAAGCAGTAAGACTAAATCAGAGTTGTATTTAAGGCCCAGTACAGCATACAGAGTTAAAAAAAAAAAAAAAGAAAAAAGAAAAAAAAGAAAAAGCACCTTATACTTTTCATCTGAACACTTAGCCATAAATCACTTAACTTAGACATATTTCATTAATGATGCATTGTGTCAGGGAAATATGTGCTTCTTCTGCAACATTTGGAAGACAATGCATCTCTACAGCTCTACTGAGACCTATCTTAAGTGAAGGGTTACAAATCATTCTCACACATTTATATTTCCACTGTTAATAAACTGGAAAAAAAATCCAGAATAAAGCTAAGAATCTTGATCAATTGGGCTTTCTAGTAAACAAGTTTAGAACAGCAGCACAGAAAAGGAAACAAGCTGTACTTGTACTTATGCTGGGGACCTGAGGACACCAAAACACTACAGAGGGTATTGCAAATTTGTTTTGATATGGCTGTTCACTGCATGAGTGCAGAAAGGCTGATCTCTAAAGAGACAGTATAACATACACAGGGCGTTCACATTGACTTTGTAAGGCTGAACCGAAGAAAACAAAGATCTCTTTTACTCTCTTTGCAGTCCATATCATTATCTGTGAAAAATGTACACTGTTACATGATACTTTCTACTAAACTTTCAAAAAATCAGTTTATAAGGAAGCTCATTGTTTACCTTTGGTTAATTTTGATTTCTATCCCAAATCACACATAAAATACTAACTGTAAGACACTCCCCACAAGAACCAAAAGATCAGAGACTATGTCATGCTCCATCCTGAGAGTCTGTAGTCCTAGTCCTAACTCTTCTGTAGAGTGAATTACTGTTTGAAACACAAATTTAAAAAGTTTTACCAACAATTTTTTTCACAATCTTTCGCAAGAAAATGAAGTGGTCCCATTTGATAGCTACAAGACAATAATAGGATTAAACAAAAACAATCCTAAACTAAGCATGTAAATACCTAAAAAGATATCAAAAGCGTGGTCTGAAAATATAATGTGCAGAATTTTATTTTTGCTGCGACAGCTTATAATCAGATACGTATAAATGGGCAAGTAGTTACAGAAGTCAGTTGGTAGCATATGCTAATCTCTGTTGACAAAAAGACAAGTATCTTTTGTACTGCAGCTACAGTCAATAGAATATATTTTAAAATAAGCATGTTGTATTTTATCAATGATTCAGTGTCTCAGGTATGTAAGCTTCAAATCTACATGTGTATAATTTCGCACAATAATTTAGTTACGCATTTACAATAGGCACAAATCCAAACCAGTAAAGACAACAGACTTCGGATAAGATTTCCACTTTGAAAGACCAGTTATGTTGATTTAGCTGGTATTTTTTAACTCCTACTTCACCTGTAAGTATGCTGCCATATTACAGATTTATATGCAATTAAATGACTCAGTTGTTTATAAAGTCATAGGAGAAAGCTGTGCTCTCAGTCACCTGAGAATAACTATAGCATGTACATTATATTGACTGTTCAATTAGAATCTTTCAGTTACTCATTTACAAATTTTTCACCTATTTCTTTTGTTGTTTTTTCTTGGGTGGGCATTATGGACAGAGAGCCACATACAGGAGAATAGTTACTATGAATTTACTGAATAGAATTAAATATACTATCATTAATAAGATATGGAAATGGGCAAGTTTTGCAATAATTAGTGAAAGAACAGTTATTCGGTGTACAGTTAGATAAAAATCAACTATATTCTTATTTATAAGAATAGAAGCAGAATATGCATATATAATTTATTGGGAAACTCAATTTAATACTGCTGCACATATATTAGCGTGAAAAGAAAAATACACTTATTAATGTATCTCAGTTTTACGATACATTTTTGGTAGAAAGTTGTGATTAGAATATGCACATTTTCTTAACTCCAAGTTTAAAAGAGGATTCACTTTTTGATGCACAATCAACTTGCATTAATACGAGTTGTTCCCATTATTAGAAAAATAAATAAACTCTACAGATTTTTATTTATTTTGGTTGGAATCCAGGAACAGAGAACACCAACATGGGGGTTAGCCTTCAAATATTAAAGGACTGCTTCTAAAAATGACAAGAACAATCCTTTCTCCAGATCCATGACAAGAGAAGATGGGAAGTGATCACTTTCAGCTGTGCCAAGAATTGTTTGGGGTAGACATCAGGAAAAATTTCCCAGTGTTTTCCCACTGGGAAAGACATCCTGTTTAAATTACAAAATCTCTCTCAGTGGAGGTTGCTTTTTTTTTTTTTTTTTTAAAAAAAAAACCAAAACAACAGGTTAAACAAGTATGTCAGGAACAACGTAAGACTGCTGATTCTGCTTTAGGGCAAGAATGAAGAATACACAATCTCTTAATATCCTTACTAGCCCTGCTTTTCTAGACCTGAAAAATATCCCCTGTAATCACTTATTTTGAGTGAAGTAGACCTGCAAAGACATTATATCTGTAGCCCTGCTTAACTTTATCTGACAGTGTAAAAATACTGCACTTCAGACAGGTTCATTTTGTTCCCAAAATGAAGATTAAGTCAAAGATGATTATTTTTTTCCTCTGGAACACAAATTTCAGTATATGGTATGCCAAATGTGGGTAAGGTTATCTGCAGATATTGCATTTTTGTCCCAGAGGCAAAAAGGTCTCAAGTGTACTGCAGAAAATCAAACCCTCAAAAAACGCAGAAATTATCACCAGTTCCACTGCATCTGTTTTTCATATAAAAAAAATAAAATGTTTGCATTAGACTTTATTGCACCATCAACTTTTTTAAAAATATCCCCCATTCAAGTCAAATATTAAATTATTTGTACAAACAAAATATAAGGTCATCTTCAAAGTATCAAGTAGATATAGTATATGTGCTATACAGAAAAAGAACAATCTAAAGTAATCATAGAATGGTTTGGGTTGGAAGGGATCTTCAAGATCATCTCGCTCCAACCCCCTGCCATGGGCAGGGACACCTTCCACTAGACCAGGTTGCTCAGAGCCCCATCCAGCCTGGCCCCAGGGAGGGAGCAGCCACAACACAGATATAAGATATATAATCTAAATCTACTCTCTTCCAGTTTAAAACCATTACTCCTCATCCTATCACTATACTCCCTGATAAATTAACAACATACTTCAAATCAGAGATGACAAAAAACAATCATTGGGTTGTTTCTCTTCCATAATTAAGAAAAGATGGAAAAAGGACTGTGTAGGCTATTGTATGTATGGAAAGCATCCCATGTCATCAAGGTGTTGAAGCAGGCGACACCTTCAAGCTGTCAAGTGCTGCATGAATTCTGAAGTGCAATCTGGACTCCATAGAGTATTCTTTGTAGTTGTTTCTGCAAACAATAAAGTTATTTTAAGAAAAACGTTTTTGACCTGGATTGTTTCTACTTCATACATGCACTGAAGTACCAAAGTTAACAGCCTTCATTCCTTCAACAGGAAACAAAGTCTGATACACAGATGAGCTATAAGACATTTAAACCTACATCCACAAACTGAGCAGGGACTTATACCAGTACTAACGATTAAATGTCCTGATAAACTGAATCCATGTCTTAGCATCTCTCACTTATTTAGATCCTTTCAACAGCCCTCCCAATTACTGAAATTTGCTGTGAAAAGACAAGCTAGAAGATTACAGAAAAGAAAGGCTCTTAACTGAAAGTGTATGTTCAGCTTCAAAACACATCTCAGCCAGAGTAATAAAACACATGGAAATCACATCATGTAATACAAACAAACAAAAGCAAAAAACACTACTTTGTTTCTAAAAAGGGTTTTAGGAGAGTGTTTCTAACTCACATTTACAAAACTATTGCATGATTGGTATACATGGGGCAAATTCTAGCCCATACCACAATCTACAGATGAAGTGAACGTGCTTCTCTAAAGCTAATTTAGCTCTCTACTGCTCTTCTGTGGCAGGATGTGAAAGGAAAAGGGACATGGTCAAAAGTGTACTGGCTTTTAACCTACTCCCACTAACAACTTTAGTGCTGCAGATGTAAGCCCCACAGCTGTTCTCTGGGACAGAGGTAGTACAGATCCTTTTTCTGGACTCTCCAGCTCCATCTCATGCATGCAGTGGAGTCTCAGCATCTCTGAAGCCTAAAGGAGAAGGAGACATTTTCCCTTCATACTGTATCTTGTTTGATATTGTCCACTCCATTGTATCTGAATGACAGAGTTTCTTGAAATTGTAAAATTTAAATTTATTGGACAATTCTTCCAAGCCAAGAACACAGATTTATAATTACTTTTATTTTGCAAAGGGGCTGGCAGGAATAAAAACCACACGCCTTCACTGGTAAAGTTACTCAGTCATTCTTAATCTACAGGCTGATAAAAAAGAAAAAAAATCCACTTACTTTGCAGCTTCTATGTATCTTATTGCTTTTTCTCTCTCATCCTGTTGCTTGTACAGAAGACCCAACTCATACAGGGTGAATGGCACCAAGTAACTATCGTATTTTATCTGTTTCTCACTAGAAAACCAGAAAAATACGTAAGTGGTTAGTTACAACCTTTCCTCAGGTGACCAATTATCTTTTAAATGCAATCACTGCTTGCACATGGCCAGAGAAAACACTCTAGAACCTTTCTTATTGGTTAGCTATGCACACGAATTATACCTGTAAAAAGTGGATGTAAAATACTGCCAATGTGACCTTCTAGGAGCAAAAATTTACCCTTTCATACTTCCTATTTGTATTGTGGCATGTTACCCAAGCTACCATGAACATAATTCCAGGACTGGGACCCTATTGTGTGACTTCAGAGTTGAAAAAACCCCAACCATCCAAAATAATAACTTGAGATAAAAACAGTGTTCATTAGGTTAGGCTGTATAATACAAATACTTCTTTCCCACACACAGAATTGAAACCCCCTTACCCTAGTTTGCCTGAACAAATCAGCAGAGAGGTAAGAAAATTCAACTTTTCCTCAATACAAGAAATTCTCAGAATCACTGTGGCTGGAAGGTACCACTGGTGATCATCTAGTCCAACTCCCTGCTCAAAGCAAGGTCAGTGGCAGCAACCTGTCAAGGACCGTGTCCACCTAGGTTTCAAATATCTCCAAAGACAGAGACTCCACAGTCTGTGTAACCTGTGCCAGTGTTTGACCAACTTGACAACTCCTTATGTTTAAACAGTATTTCCTGTACTTCAGTTTGTGCCCGTTATCTCTCATCCTGTCACTGGGCACTACTGAGAAGAGCTTGTTTCTGTCTCTATTTTTTTTTTAAAACACACTCCCTTCAGGTAGCCCTTTCAGGTCTTCTCCAGGCTGAACAGTCCCTGCTCTCTCCATTTCTTCCTGTATGACAGATGCTTCAACCCTTTAGTCATCTTTGTGGCCCTTTGTTAGACTTGTTCTGATATGCCCATGTCTCTCTCATACCAGTGAGCCCAGGACTAGACACAGTACTCCAGATGTGGCCTGACCAGTGCTCAGAGAGGAGGAAGGATCACAGTCCTCAACTTGCTGATGACACTATTCCTAACTCAGGACACTGTTGGCCACCTTTGTTGCAAAGGCACATTGCTGGCTCATGGTCAGCTTGGGGTTAACTGTTATGCCCAGGGTCCCCAGGGGATTTTCTGAGAAACTGTTCCCCAGTCAGTCAGTCCCCAGCCTATGCTGGTGCATGGGGTTACTCATCCCCAGGGGTAGGGATAAGCACTTGCCTTTGTTGAACTTCATGAGGTTGCTGTCAGCCCATTTCTCTACCCTGTCCAGGTTGCTCTGAAAGGCAGCACAACCACCTGGCTTATCAACCACTCCTCCCACTTTGTATCATCTGCACATTTGCTGAGGTTGCATTCTGTCCCATCATCCAGGTCCTTAATGAAGATGTTAAAAGCTACTGGGCCCAGCACTGAACTCTGCATTATAGTACTGGTGACTGGCCTCCAGCTGACTTCATGCTGCTGATCACAACCTTCTGAACCCAGCAGCTCAGCCAATTTTCAATCCATCACACTACCCACTTACCCAGTTGAGACTTCATCAGTTTGTCTGTGATGATATTGTGAGAGACAGTGTCAAAAACCTTTCTAAACTCAAGATAAAGAACATTCACTGTTGTCCCCTTACCTGCTGAGCCAGCCATCTCATTGTAGAAGACTATAACGATTGTCAAGCACGATTCCCCCTTCATAAATTCATGCTGACTACTCCTGATCATCCCCACACTTTTGGAAATGGTTTCCAGAATTATTTACTCCACCCTCCCAGGGACTGATGGCCTGCAGTTTCCCAGATCCCTCCTCCTTGCCCTTCTTGAAGACAGGGGTGACATTTGCTTTCTTCTGATCCTCAGGAACTTCCCCAACTGCCATGATCTTTCAAAGATAATGGAGTGTCACAATGACATTGGCCAGCTCCCTCAGCACTCATGGATATATACCAATGCCCTATGTACTTATGTATGTATACATATGGTCATATGTTTGTCTAAGTTCATACTTTACCTAACCTGACCCTCCCCCATCTATGGTAATTCTGCGTGTTCCAGACATTCTCTCAGGTTCCATGGATCTGCCACTACAGAACAAGGTGAAGAAGGAATCACATATCTTGGACTTCCCTGTTTCTCTTACAATCAATTCTGATTCTTATCTGGATAGAATAACATCAGCCAATATTGCAGAATGCAAAAATCTGCAACAAGCAATGGAAAAGCACTCAACATTTTGAAAGCAACACTTCTAAAGAGGCACCTCCATCCACCAAGACAGGCCTTGATGCACAGAAAGTGTGACTTAAAATAGGGAACTCCTTACATGATAAACAGTCTTAAGGTGCTGTAGCAGTGCAAGAAATGTGAAGACTAGAGCTGACCAGAAGGTAGATGTTTAATCTACCAGAAGCCTTCTCCTCCTTCCCATGCAAAACTACCTGAAAACTTGTCTGAAGATTTTTGAGATGTCTCAGCTCTAAAATACCTTTGGAGCAATATTTTCAGAAACAGCATTAATTAAACTTGTAACCAGCTGAAACCCACTGCCCAGTAACTTGCAAAGTGCTGACTAAACTCACTTGGGATCTTAGAAATGGCAAGAGAAAGCAAGATAACAAAAAAATTATAACAAGAAATAGAATTATGTGTAACAAATTATCCTTAAATAATTTTTCTAAATTATTTATTAGAAAAATTGCCTATGTAAAAAATTTTTCAGTCTAAAAATTTTAAAAAGTTTATAACCACAACCAGTACATAACTCAATGTTATATGAAGAAAAGTTATTACAGTAGATATGGATCTGACACGTAAAGTATCTGATAAATCTGTAACACAGGACACTTAAGTTTTCAGCTGAAAGAAGTAACAGCAACAATTTCTCATCTACATAGAGAAGAATTAACTCTACTTATATTAATAGTTCTGCAAATACAAAAATAACAATTTCAAGTGTATTTAGATAAATGCGTTACCATCACTTTGATTTATTTGGCCTAAACCATCACATTTATATAAAACTATATAATGTTAAACTGCTACAGAAAAATACAAGCAAAGCTCTGTGGTTCTCCAACTACTTTCAGAGGTATTTTAATTACAGCTCCTTAACAGGATGCTGAAGTTTAATTATTCAAAATTCTAACATGACAGCTTCTATAGGAGTATCAGAAATTTCATGCAAAGCTACAAAATATAAAGGTTAGAAGTCTGTTTATGCTATTTTTACCTTTGAGTTACTTTACTGAAACACAGTTCAGCTTGCATGAGTCTTCCCAAGTGTTTCAGGCAGAGGCCCTTCAGTAACTGCAACATGCACACATCATCCATATAGTACTCATTGTGATCTAAAAGGAAAAGTGAGATACATCAAATAATTTGAAGACATAATGAAAAGGAAAATCAGATTTTCAGTAGGGAGAATGTATTCAGACTCAAGACCTTGCTTCTCAGATTTTATACCTCAACACACACATAACCTTCAGACACAATTTTAAATACTGTCTACTAAAGAAGATAGGTACATAAACATCTGCATCTTTCTCTTTAAAGATGCAGGCTAAGAAGAAACAAGAAGAAACCAAAACATCCAGATATTCCCAGTCTTCTATATCTGTAATTCAGTACAAAAGCATAAACTGGCATCAGTTAAAGATTTCTGTACTTGTAATATTTAAAACAGGAAGCAAGACCTACAGTGAGACTGAAACCTCCTTGGCATTACATTATCTTAATAGCTTCTTCCCCAGCTGCAGAGCACTGGCAGACCTTCAGTAGCACCAGTAACATGGGAAGCACAAGAACACGCTAGGACTATGTCCTGCAGAACTTTTCAGATGCATTATTTGGCAGTACAAATTCAAGAAACCATGTTTATTAGTATTTCCATAATCTCTAATGATTAAGAAGCTTCACTAATAGTGTGTAACATTTGGAAAATTCAGGAAGTTTTATGTTCAGCTGGCCTAAAAATACCACATGAAAGAGCATTTGTAAAATGATTCAGAAATACAACCTTAACAAGCACGGGCCTTTTTTGTTGCCTTGGTTTATAGCATTTGCTGGGTGCAGGGAAGGAAAAGAAAGGAAAGAAAACACATATGGATAGACAGATGGCAGCACATACATTAGCAACTCAGGAAGCAAAACACTCTCCCTTCATATCATGTTGTTTACAACTAATTACCAGCTCTCTAAGGTCACGTTAATTTTTTTCTTAATAGTCTGCCAAAAAAAATCCTACGTAAACAGTTCTGAAACATGCAAGACTAAAAGTATCTTAGGATTCAGCAAAGTGCTTTGCCAGTACATTCAGGCTTAATCCTGTCTGTGTTTAAACCCAGAAAGTCTCAACAGATAGTAACTGTCAGACTGCGCTTTTAGTGACAGGTAGAAGCACAGTGGCTGAGCATTCTGCATTCCCTCTTGCCTGGGTTGCTAGGCTAAGGTATTGGATTAATGTGACTGTCTCCTAAAGGACTCATTCATTAAAATTACTGAGGTCAAGCACTGATGTCAGTAAAAGCTTGCCAGTCTTTAACAACTTCAAGGAGTACCTCCCTGGTATTTCCCAAAGGCAGAAAAGCTATTATGCCAAAACACTGACAGTAAATGACAGTAAACGTAAACCAATTTAATACAGACAACCTTGCAATACATGTGGGAGAACCATCTTCTTGCAGTCCTCTATAGCAGAGGAAATATCATTATCAGGATTATAAAACACCCCAAGAAATTAATTTTTCTTGAAGTTACAAATTCCTTTCTTCTATCTTGGAGATGATATGACTACGGAAAAATAAGATTTCTAGAAATTTTGAGGGGAAAAAATTAAAAAATTTCTAATGTCTTTCATCTGTTCATTCTACCATCTCTATACAACACAAGACCACTTTCAATCCTTGACAGATTCCTTGCTGTGCCTGTTCACTTAAAGTGAATGAAATCTCAACAGCTCTGAGAAGTCTCAATCCCTAAATGACCTTCTTGTATAATTAACACACTTTTTTACAGCACCTTAGCATTCCTTTAAAGCTACCTCAATATGGACAGCTGTCTTAAAATAATATTGTAACCTCACCACACTATGGTAATAGATGTAATCACTTTCTTTGTGTCTCAGTTCTGGTAATCAGAGCCTTAATCTTGTCTGAATCCACATCTTTAAAAGCATACCAGGTTTACAGATGCAAATTCCAGAACAAAACTACATTTCACTGAAATTTTTACCAAAAAAGATACAGAAAGCATGAAAACCAAGTATGCTTCCAGATTATATCCTATTTGGTAACTGTGTATTTCTGTAAGAAGAACATACTTATTTTTGTTCCTTTTATTTTGGTACCCTGTGCATCTCTGCTTCAGAATGTGATATGAAATTTACTTTACTGTTACAACTGATTAGCACTGACAGTACAAGCCTCTGTATGATACAGCACCAGACTCCAATAGCTTCTGCCAGAACCCTCTGTGCAGAGATCATGGGAACATTATTTTCAGATGTCTTGCATATTGCAACATCTTGGTTTTAACACAAATGATAAAAAAGGGTAAGCGTTTGAGATTTTAAAGCCACACTACTGATTTTGCAGAAAGGTAAAGAACAGCATAAAAATATTAAGGGACCAAATACAGTCTTGGACTTGAAAATGACTCTCATTTGGTTTATTATACCATCCAGATTTTACCACTTCTGAGGCACCTCAGTTTACATGTATATCATAATTAGGTGTACTTTCACATTTCATCATTAATGTTTTAATCATGTGGCAAACTAACTTTTGCTATTTTTTTCTAAGTGTGATTAAAAACTGGGTTAAATAGAAATTATTTTTAGTGAACTACCACTAAAGAATAGTTTCATGTGCCAATTTACTCATTCTAGAACTTAAAAGAGAAGTCTACCAAGAAGTTCACATGATAGAAGACAGCATGCACCTTACAGAACCCGACAGAGCCAGGTACTTTTGCAGTAAACCTGCTGTAATAATGTAAGTACTGTAACCAATAACCTCATATCCTTGAGTTTTCTGTATTCTTCTGCCACAGCAATCAAAACAGAAAACATATTGAAGAACCACTGCTAACTTTCATGCAGCTTCAAAACTTCAGATTTAATAGCACATTGCCTGAGTCAACATTTACCTCATAGAACATTACTAGACAGAAACAAAGAAAAATATCAGTGTTTCTTAACAGTTTATTAACTCCATCTTACTGGTCACTTACTAGTTTCATTTTGTAGAGTAGTTTCTTCTTTTTCAATTGTTACCAGTAAATTTTCAGTGAGGTCTGCTCTTTTGCCCACAATTGCAAAGCCATTCCAGACATACATCATTTCCTGACAAAAAAAACAAGCAAGACAAACTCATGGAACTGGGTAAATATTTAACTAAAGAGTACCTGTTGGAAGGCTGTTATGGAACATTTTGAGTGCATAAAAATACTACCTACAAAAAGTTCTTTTAAACAATATGGAAGGTTTCAAAGCCAGAACTCTCACTGTTGAGAAGTCCATGAATAAAAGTATCTGTATGATTAAAAGGCATTCTGTCAGTTACATGAAGTTTACAGACAATTACATTTGCATTAGTAAGTTGCATAACAGTATCTGTGCGTAGGAAAGGCAAAATTACATCAAATGTGTGGCAAAGTTAACCTAGGTTTCTAAGTTATGACGGTTTTGACACCTTGTTTTATGGATTCTCTCATGTATTTTCATAGATCTTCAAAAATCAAAACTGAACAGATGTTAGCATGTGATAATTTACCACCACCCACATAACACATCAGCAAAACCAGGCATTTTAGGTTCAACTTATGGCCTCTGCCATATGAACTAAAGAAGCAGCTGAAAGTAGTTACTTTCTACAGGATTATAGATAAATTTTTGAGTGTGTTTGTGGGTGTGTGCATGTATATACAGTATACATATAGATGACTGCACCCAAACACACACTCATGCATGTGTTTATATATAGATGCTATAAGGTATAGACTGTTAATTTCCATATGGAGCAACAAGTAGATAAAACTTCCTGGATAAAAATGTTGATGCATCCACACACTTCCAATATAATTCTACAAGATTTAAAAAAAAAAAAAAATTAAAAAATCAAAGCACATCTTGACACAAAGCTTCTCAGATGCTTCAGCACAATAGTAAGCAACTTGTTTTAATGCATTAAATATTATCACACTGTAACACAAAGAGAATGAGAGAATACACATACAGTTAATGCTAACCAATATGAAACTTTGCTCAGTCATCGCAAACATGAGTATCATTTGTTCTGCTGTACATGAATTGTAATTACACCTCTGAAATATGAAGCCTGATGTCATTCTGAAGCTGATACAATGCATTCTTGAAATATTTCCGCTTGTATTTGTGCTGTAACTATGTGGGTTTTCAGAGGGAAGAAAAAAAACCTAGTTCCCTCAAATCTGTAATGGTGTTATTGACACTACTATCATATATGCTAGATTCATTTCAATTCTGTAGTCCTGTCTAATTTATGCTTACTGCTGTAACACCATACACTATCTTTCTTTTTGCTTAACCCATGGTGCAAAAAATCTTAAATTAAAAGATACTGGATTTGACAGCAAGACCAAAGATACACACTCACAGTTGAACAGCACTGTGCTGTACAAGCCAATGATATATACTTAGGTCTGTATATGTAATTGAGTATACAGTGAATTTTAAAACTAACAGATTAATTTTCTTTGGACTCCTCTTTCTCTATCAGTGAGTTTTACTGTAAGAAATTTCTTCTCAAATTCTATTATCCATGTACATAAATTTTAGCATACACATGTGAACTATCATTGCTGTGCACACATAAACAGACTGTACACTACCCATGCCTCTGCAGTTAAAAGCATGGTAAATTAGAATAGCATTAGTAAAGTATTATTAGCTTCTGCACATTCTACTCAGACTATATAATAAAAAAACCCCAACAACAGAAACCAAAATGAACCACCACTTTTTCACCAGAATAGAAAGTGTAAGTACTCCTTAACTTCCTAATGGGTATGGAGGGCAAGGACTGAAATCCTGACAAATAAAGAACACGAACACATATGCTAAAAACCCATGCAGGTTTCTAGCTGAAACGTGACTTTCAGCCTCATGTGGCATCAACAATCATTCTCTGTGTATTTGAACTTTCTCATGAAAAAATCTGGCTCCAGTTTTGGACTGCTAGTAGTTGGTAGTATGATCCAGCCTCTAGTACATTTCATAAAAATCCCATTATATGAATGCAATAATTCTTTAAAAAAAAAGTAAAAATGCAGACACATACTACCTGATAACAATATTATTTCCCTGTATAATGAATTAAACTTACTTCTTTCCTATTTGAAAAGGATGAAAAGAAAACAAACATAAATACCAAGGCGGGTAGTATCAGCTTCACTGGTTGAGAACTTGCATAGCGTCGAGCTTTCCTTACAGCAAATTTCTCAGTTGGGATAGATTTTCCTGCAATTCTCTGTTTTAGACCATCCACTTGTCTGCAAGGAGGAGAAGTGTAAAACAGAAGTTGATGTAATTTTTATTTCATCTTACTTTATTTAGTAAGATTTGCTGTTTGCCTCTAAGTATAACATCTTGAATTGTTTCACAGCACTTACACCACACTTGTAGGACGTGTATTTGCTGATAAAAGAAGCATTTTATATACTCTGATGCTAAAAGCAAAGAGAAAAACTGTTAAGTTTTTCTTGTTTGTAAGTCAAAGTTAATGGTTATAGTAGGAAGTATGTCACAAAAGACAAAGATACTCAAGTAAAAACCTTTTACATTGGATGAAAAAGACTGCACATCTAGTCACTTCACAAATGTTTACCTGAATAAAGATACAATGTCCTCACCAGTCCTTTTCAAATCATCTTCTGGAAGCATACATAGAATTGCTGCCTTCTGGAATACATATATTGCCTATTTCAGAAACAAAGAGTAACATATTACCACATCTAATTTGCTGTGTTCAGCCAGTACACTGATGACTCAAATCTCTCACCCCACTTGCTGCAAAGTGTTTCCACTGATTCTCAGATAGGCGGAACTACAGAAGTTTAGTATTTCCCTTGTCACATAATTTATGCTATGATTTTCTTTTCAAAATATTTATTGATATTCTAAGTAAGTTAGAATACTAAAGATGTCTCCTGCAAAGAACAGGACAATTTATTATGCAGAGCACAGTTAAAGAGATGAGGTTAAATGACACAACTATTCTAAAGTCTATTACTGTTATTATATGATCTGTGATGTGTAGAGACAGGCCTGAAAAAACACAAGAAAATATCTGAGTACTGATTCAGGACAAGTTCAATAACTGGACTTTGCACAGAAAAAAGAAAATTCTAATCAAGACATTTGCACTTCATGTTGAATATATTATTCTCTTCCTCTTTTGTCAGAATTGGATAAATGTCTTTTTCCACTAAGCATAATAGAGTAATCAAGAAAGGAACAGACAAAAATGATGTATCAAAAATTATTTGCACATTGTGCTTGGTTCATACTTTGAGAAACATTTTTACAATGAAAACGTAGATACCCCAACTTTTCTCATGAGACCATGCCTCCAGCAGCTTTTTCACTTCATGTCACAAAGCATCTGACAGTAGATGTGCTCTCATCTGTTTGTAATTAACAAACACAGGTTCTTCAGCCAAGTTTTATTAGCAAGTGTTAGAACCTGACTTGAGATGCAAGTTAACAGGTTTCTTCTCCATCTTTTTTTTTCCTCACAACTGTGGTAAGTACTGACTGTTTCTAGAGGAGCTGAAGTGTTAGTTATGGCTCTGGTGCTTCAGAATGTGAAATAAAAATTCCTCCTTAGACACGCAGTTAAACTTACCATTTTGGTGCCATTGTGCCTTTGCTTACAGGTTTCAGAAGAAAGCAAAAAATTACACTTATTGTGCAAATTGGAATGCAAATTTCATTGTGGAGAGGCTACTGGTATATCATAACAATGTCCACCTGCCCATTTACCTTAGACCACCTGCTCTCTTTGCTGAGCAGGTCTGCATACCGATATGCTTGAAGCCAGTTCTGCTGGAAGGTGTAGCACCACATCAGTTCCCAGTAACAGAGATGATGAATCTGTTTCCACTCCTGCTGGGCTGCTATGCAGTCTTGGAACCTCATCTGTGCCTACAATGTAGTTAAGTAAGAATGACAAAAATTGGCTTAATTACAGCTCCGCATGAGAGCCATGTCTAATTACAGAGCAACTTCTTTCCTAGCCCCAAAATGGAGAACACCTGACTAGTAAAATAAGATAAACTTCACTTTCAGTCTCACAGAGAGTATGCTGGAATCAATACTGATTCTGAACATGGACAGGTACAAGAGCATAATTGTCAGTTCAACTAAAATAAGTTACTTACTTAAATGAATTAGATACTTTTTCCCCAAGTTGAACGCTGAACAGATAAAAACATTAAAAAGAAAAAATGGATTTACCTTTTCAAAATTTCCTTTCAGTATATCTATTCTGGCAGCATAGAATAGAATAATGGAACCCTTGAAAGGAAATGAGAAAAATACCCACTTACTATTTTAAGCTTAGGGAAATACGTTGCTGTTATAAAGTTTATTGAGAATACACACATTTGGAAATTTCTGGAGGTAGGGCTCAAGGAGACTGTCTGCTTCCTGAAGGTTGGCTTCCCCTGTACCTAGAAAACATAACAAAGCAACATCAATGTACTTAAGAAAAATGAGTTTCACAGATCAAGATTTCAGTTTCCAAATCGTATTATGGCTTGAATAGATTAATGAATGACTGCTTTTATGCAAAAGCAAAATTATTTCACCATATTGTGTTTCTATAAAAATGAATTCTTGTCCTGAAGGTACGAAGTGCTTTTAAGATAGTAAACGTCTGTAAGTAGAAACAGAATAGTATATATGAATATTTTTTAAACTGTTCCATTATAGATCCTAGTTACATTTCTGAATCCCTTTATTTGCTTTAGCAAGTTGGGAAACCATTCCTCAGCTTGCTCCTTTCCTAATTTTGAGCTCACTAACGAAGTACAGGTGATACTGAAAGAAATGAAGTTCTCCTTAATTTCCTGATGAGCCTGAGGGACAAGGAGTAAAATACTTTCAAACTAAAGAACATGAAAATATATGTCAAAGATGCATGTAGAAGTAATGGTGAATTTTAGCTTCATGTGGCAAAACAAAGTAATTCTCTACATTTTTGATCTTCCAAGTAAATTACTTGGGAATACAGACTTTTTTTCTGGAGATAGTTTTCACAATATCTGATGTTAATTTATGGATAAGGACTTGTCTGAAGTGTTTTGTGATATTTTGCTGTTGCATGTTGACACAGCCCTGTAAATGGAACAAGATGTTGGTACAATGTTATCTACCCTCCCTGTTTCTGCTGACATAGCTTTGTCAGAGATACTAATTTCAGAACATAATTAAGGATACAGCAATCTCCTGTTACAAAGCTAACTGGCCACAGCTCAGAAATGTGGTTCAAAAACATTACAGTTTCTATTATAATGTGTAGCATGACTGAACAGCTACACAGTGGGTCTCACCAAGGATTAAGGAGACGTAAGTATGATAAACCAACAGGGTGAAAGTACACAGAATGGCCCTCAAACTGCTGCCAGATGCGCCTTCCCGTAGTTGACAGAGGCCCAACTCCTAAGAAACATCACAAACACATGCAGAATTAACTATCAGTATACAGAGTTACTATTAATAATTCCTGGCTCCCCCAAATCCAGTTTTCTTTTTTAGATGTATTTCTTAATTCAGCACTTTGTTATCTCAGATCCAACACAACCTTCTACCAAAACAGTTCTACCACAGCTGATAGCACTCAGCAAAGAAAAGGTTAAGCTAACACTGAATAAAATTACTCACACATTTCAGTGCTCTGGTGAAATGGGAATGCCACATAAATCATGCAGACACACGGGTCTACATACCTTCCCCACTATACTCTGGCTATGAGCCTTTCAGAATAACACCTTTTAATCTATGTCCAGTGAGAACCTCTCTCAACTTTTCCAGTACTACTTGTTGGCAAGAGTCTTCCTCTACAGAAATTCCAGGTTATTCTCTTCCATCAAGTTGGCTACTGTTTTGAGGTTCTGATCAAATATTAGCTCTGCTGACACACTAACTTCTGGATACCATTTTCAGAAGCTACAATGGAATTTTTGTATGCACTAAGGAAAAGAATCCAGATTCATGGAGACTTATTCAGTTCTTAACACATGAAACTTCTTCCTAGTTTATTCTTCTTTCCAGTTTATGTCCATTACATGACAGCTTGACTGTTTGGTGGATTGTTGAGATGAGCTCAGAACTTCCACACTCAAGAGAAGTGGCTTTTCAGAAACATACCAGATTTTAACAGTTTTGCCACAAATCAAATATTACTTTAAAAGGAGTTTTATTGCATAGCAACTTGATGAGTTACAAAAGATTCAAGTACCATACAAAACAATGTGCTAATAGCACAAAATTGTTTGTTCTCTTCCCTTCAGCTTTCATTGCCTTTTCAGTCAGGGCAAAAATGTGTATTATGGAAGAGCTTCAGCATGAACCAGGTCTTTCACAGGAAGATACAGAATTAACAGATCTCTACTGAAGTCAAATTTTACATAAGCAGAACCGTATCTGTGGACAAACTAACAGCAATAAGACCATATGGTGACTCATTAACAACTTGAAGTTTAGTTACGTATAATTCTGTGGGTTGCTTTGGTTGGTTGGTTGGTGGTTTTTATTTATTTATTTATTTATTATATGGGTGCTAAAAAGAGTTTTAATAAAACACAGCTAGGTTTACAAAAACAAGCCATGAATACAAATACTTTCCTCAACCATGAGAAAAAGACGTACTGAGATTCCACAGTGACACACAATATTCAGAAATTCCTTCTCCCAAAGAAGTAGGTTGGGATTGTGGGGGTAGATGTAGATCTGCTACTTTCCCCTCAGTTACTGGTATGAGGAACATTAATTTCTGACTGTATAGGCTAGAAAAGAAAGCTGATATCCTCTCCTTAAGGATCAGCAAAAGTAAAGGAAATTGCAATTTGAAAACAACCTCTGAAGCAGACTGGTCATCTCCTGTGGTTATTCAAGATCAGGATATCACTATATGTGCTTCTATGCCTGCATCACCTAGCCCACTTCTCATCTTTTCAACAATACTAAAATACTGATAAAAAATACAGATCATTTTAGTTTTAGTGGGAAATATATGACATTAAATCCATCCAGTTTTTATCTGAGAAAAGACTACTTTATAAAAACAAATAACAGATCCAATACCCTATTGCCAGAAAATCCAATAAATTCTAAAAGTCGGAGGATCCTTCCTGGTAAAAGTGACAGCATCTGAAATACATTTCAAACAAAAGTAAGATCAACAGAAATTTATATACTGATTTAAAAAAGGAAAACCACTATAAACTTGAGCCAAAAATGCCAGATACTATGTTAAATGACATTACACATTGGTGAAAAAGAAAAACACAAAAAAGAACTCGAAAATAGACATGCATAATCGACAATATACAATCAATCTGCAGATTCATGGAAACTCAAGACTTTTGATGATCATCCGGTATGGAAACAGTAAGACAGAATCCAGCGTGCTTCTTCAGATAACAGATTTTTCTCTCTTTAGCTGATCAGAATTGTTTGAAAATTGTGAGTCATTTGGAATGAAAGTATTATCTATTTTGGTAGTAGTTACAATCTACAATTTTCATTTTCCTTTACTGCCAATAAAATGACACAATGGTATCACAAAAGTTCTACTTGTTCCTACTGTGGAGCACTGAATTAGTAGACCAGCAAGCATACCTGTTTTAGAAATACTAGCCATTTGTATCATCCTTTAGCCCTCTACTACATACACTTTTTGTTCTCCTTGTAACTGCATTCTCCACATCCTACAGAACAGTAAACTTATAAAGATCACAGCCCCTTTTTCAATGAGCATTACAAGAAGGTCTATTTGCAAGTCAGTTTTTGAAAGCTCCATTCATCCTAATACATTCTGCCCTGCAGAGGCTTTTTCTGTTAAGCTTCCTACTGAAGAGACGATGAAGAATAGGAAAGGTCAGAGCACTTATGAACACAGACCAGCTGTTTGGGTTTTAAAGACTGACAGGTGCAGATAGATGTGAGTTCTTCTGACCATATTCAAAACTGGTCAGCTCCAGTCTGGAATGATACAGAAATTAACAGAGCAGCAGCAATCAACTCTCACTGTTGCCATGACAAATGTAAAAAGGCAACTGTAGCAAATTGTAAAGTAAAATGCTAGTGGATGTACCCAGTTTTCTTTTGCACAAACTCAGTAAACTGCTGCCCATTCTTCTGAATTTGTAATTATCTATGTCAATCTACAGTATACCACTGAAGCTAAACAATGGTATACGTGAGGGTGTTAGAATAAAAGCAGTCACTCCAGATATCCTGTAACCAACAGCATAAGCATCTTAAAAATTCCTGGTACGTAGAGGTAGATGTTAGCTGCTTTTCCTCTTAAGAAACACATACATAAATTAGTCCAAGAGAATTAAACACACAGAATAAATTAGTAAAAAGATCTTAGAAGACATGCATGCAAAAAGCCACTGCTGTTTCATGTTGCATACTTCAAAGTCTGTATCTCCATTTTAAAAATTTGTAATTTTAAAATGAGGATCACAGTACTGTATCTGCAACGAAAGAATCCCACAGGCTTATCACAGTGGCCTTTCTGTAGTCTGGAAAAGTCATACCAAGTTGAATGCTCCAATTCCAAGTTTTACTCCTCCTTCAAACTGGTAGTAAGTTTCATTTTTGCTTTTGTTCCCCTGAGTCATCTGTAGCACCTGATGACATTCTCTTTTGATGCATAAAAAAAAAAAAAAAAAAAAAGGAAAAAAAAGGAGGGAAGGGGAAACATGATTTAGAAATTATATGAAGTGTAATCCTAATGATTTCTATAAAATATTTCTTTTTATTTTGGAATCATTAATGCAACTGCACCTGCTTATACAAACATTTAATCTGTTTTCTAATAACTTACTTGTATATTTGGTAACTCGTCCTAATTTTGAGGCCACCTTTTATAAAGTTGATCATATTTTCATCCTGAAAGAAAAAAATTTCATTGTACAAAAATGTGTATTCTGCTATTACGTATAACACATACATAAAAATCTTCCAGGTACATTTAAATTCATTTATAATTTAACAGTCATTGGAAATATTAGAAATGTTTTTCAGTTATTAGATTTATCTCTAAGACTGAAGTTAACACTTGCTTTAAGTTTTCAGGGAAACATTTCCCTGGTGCATGTTACAAATTTTAAAACTTAGGAGGAAGATAAAAAAAAAAAATCGTAATTACTTCCAAAAGAATTGCTAATGCCTAGAAATGAAACAAGAAAGCTCTCCACCAGATGGTGCTGTAGGAACTTTGTAAAAAGTGTTGAAACATCTATTCTGTCACACACAAGCAAGCCCAGAACCTGGCAGAAGACAAACCAAGGAATCCCCTGAACAGATTAATTCCCACTGATGATCAACACTAACCACACATACTACCCAACAAATGTGCTTCTTAACCTCCAGAAAAATCAAAGTAAAGCCACCATGTCTTAGCCATCAAGAATAAATTCCTGAAAAGCAATACAGTTAACAGTTCAACAGGACAGAAATTTTCCTCCTAAAATTCACACAGAAGGGGAATGTGTGCAGACATATCAGAAATGAACATTTAAATACTCTGGAACAGCATATATGATGTGGAAAACGAAAAATCACAAAAAAAACCCCTCAGAATCAAATGAAATTCTGGCTTCCATAAAAGGGTCAGAAGACCTCAACCTGTTTTGTCTCAAGACTTAACACCCAAAGGGAAGTGTTTTAGTACAAGCATTCTTACTACCTGTTTCTGAAAGGTTACATTTTTATTATCATCAGTCCTTCAGATGAATCAAGGTCAGTCAAGGATGAAAAATATGGGACATAACAGCAGTCAGAAAAGCAGGGTATTAAAGTCAACAGCAATGGATCTCTGACATGATGAATAGCGAGGTGCTGCTTTAGAGAGAGTATATCCCCAAGGATTTAGTCATTTTATACAGTCCTGAACTCATCTCCTTCAACAGCTGTTTAAAAACTCTCTTCATGCTTAAAAAAATACTCCACCCCCAAAAGAAAAGATGATTGCTTTCAGTTGACTAGTAAGAGAGAAATTCAGTTATAAGGAAAGACTGGCATTCCATTAATACTTCCTGACAATTCTGGCTAAAGTAAGGTCATCCGATCTTAATATCTTTGTGCCTTGCTTCTTCATCATAATTTATATCTGAAGGGATTATCTAAAATACAGTCATTAAACATTTGTAAAACACATATGTGAAAAAAAAGTATGTCTAAAACCTCCTGTTTCTAGGAATGAAATATCAAACAGAATTTGAAAGCACTGTAGCATGAAGTCCTTGAACCATAATCTAAATAAGAAGCATCAGACAGTATTAAATATCAGATCTTTCTGTGAACCGACTTACTGCTTCAGCAAAGGTAAGGCATGTTCATTCTATCGTCATCCGTTACTATATTCTTCCAGACACCATGTTAAAAGTGCATGGAGAGTGATACTGAACTGGAGACAACTACGCATCAGTTAAAGTTATGTTAGTTGGGAAACATTCTATCCTTTTCGACTTGTACTTTCAAACACAACTTTTCCTCATATTTGAGCATCTTTTAAAATAAGCAATGGACATTGTCAGATGTGATACAAGTAATTTAAACACACCATCTGTATAAGACTGCAATATACCTTATGCTTTTGGTTTCTGGGTATCAGTAACATCTTTGGTTATTCATAAAAGCACAGAGAGGACTTTGCTGGGTATCATGGCATTTACGGTACTTTCAATCACTGCTACAAAATAACATTAATTCACTAGGAAAAAGTTGGGTTTTTAAATACCATATCTATTGTGGGAACAATGTTTTACAAGTACTAACATCCTCCCATTAAACTGCTACACAAAGATACAAAATAAACAATTGACTTTACCTGTACGAAGGTGAGAGCTGCTTTCTGTAATAAGCATTCAGCATAGCAGATTTCAGCATGCATTTCCTCTATATAAGAAATAAAATTTATTTACTGTCAGCAAAGTATTATCAATACTATCTTCTTAAGGTCAGTGGAGCAAATAAAATGTTACTAAGGAAAAAAAGCGCAATATTCTGCTGTTGCTGTTTTGATAACTGCTGAATAATAGCTGTAACACACAAATCTCAGAAGAATTCTTCTATTTCACTTCTCCTCAGACAAAAACTTTGATCTTGTCAGAGCTGACCTCAGCCTAGGGCAAAATCTACTTGTCATTCTGGTGGATGATCTCCTGTACTTTCCATCAATCCTAAATTCAACTATCAAAACAACTAAGTATTTCAACCCTTCTTCTATGTCTTAGAAAAAACTCCAAGAGATGCATGGTAATGTTACTGATTGTCACTGATTCGTTATTAATCTGAGTTGATGATTTCTGGAGATTTTGATAAGGAATAATTAGGACTAATCAATTAAATGGAAAACCATAGAAATATCGTTTTTTTACAGAAGACAGTGGCATAATGTTTTAAGTAGTCCTAGAGATGTGTTTAGTTTAAAGTAACCATACACCAGTTACTCTGCTAGATGAGGCACCATTGTTAGATGGTTTGGTAACGATGATTTATAGTCCTGGAGACTACGTGTTTTAAAATCTGTGTTGTGAAAGGACCTCAAAGCACGTTAACATTGCAATGTGAGCCAAAGTCCTTGAGTCAAGGACACTGGGGGTGTTTTTCTTTTGAGTGGTGGTTGCAAAATCAGCCCTCTGACTCATTTCAGGGCTCAGGTGCACATGATCAAAAAGAGGTGGGAATATGAAAATGAGTTACAGGAATAAGCATATTTATGAGTGAGAACTTGATTAATATGTATTTATGTATCCAATATAAACAGCATGCCACATGAGTTAGGTGTGCATTGTCAATGAGATGACTCCCCTGCTCACCGTTAATAAAGAAGTGTCTGCTTATCTACATCAAATTGGTGTCGATAAGTTCTTTTATCCCATTTTGGTGACAGTAACACTCACTGTGGCTCAGGCTTTTTCTAAGACCAGTAAGACATTATGAAGAGGTTTCCACCAAGTCATGCTCAACAAAGCAAAAGCTCTAGGCAGACTTTCTGGTCTCATGCAGGACTAAACTATGTGTGATTTAACACACATGACATGAAATAATCTGCACCCATGCTGCAAGACCAGCCACACGCACAAGGCTGCTGTATGTACATTGCACATGTGAGTTTGATGTGTCCAGTATTAAGGAGTATTCTTTGGTGTCAGGTTAGAAGAAAATGCATACTTGATTCTTTCCAAATCAGAAATAGGAGACCAGCATTTTCAGAACCATGAACAATGTACTGATACCGTTCCCCAAAACACCTTAAGACAAAACAGACAAGCGCAAAACTTGTTAATCTATTCAGATTTAAATTCAACTACTGATAATGATGTATTCCAAAACATCAATGATACCTAAACTTTTGGGACCTGTCTTAATGAAAAAAAGGAAATACCTCTTCAGCCCTATAATGTGTTGTTGTAGCCCCTACAAACGTTTCTCATCAAGCACAAGGACCATTAATCGCTGGCTCCATTGTGTAACTAACCCTGATCCCTTGTGGCTCTACTGTGTAAACCTGATATGATCCAGGCCTTGCTAATGAATTCACCATTAAAGAGGAGATAAAGACCGATGAGAAGTGAGCATCCTGCTCCAGAAGACACCAAGGGCTGAATGATTCCCCAAGAAGCACAAAGTCAGCAAAAACCTGTGGTAACTGGGGAAGCAGTAAAGGTGGCATTGATTACAAAGACGCTGTGAGGCTATGCAGGGTGGAAATTAGAAGGTCTAAAGCCCAGCTGGAAATTAATCTGGCTTCAGCAGTTGAAGATAACAAGAAATGTTTCTATAAGTATGTCAACAGCAAAAGAAAGACCAAGGAGAGCCTCCATCCCCTGCTAGACACAGGAGGAAACATGGTAACAAGTGATGAGGAAAAGGCTGAGGTGCTTAATGCCTTCTTTGCCTCAGTCTTTGATAACAAGACTAGTTGTACTGAGGGAATCCAGCCTCCTCAGCCAGAAGACATAGACTGGGAGAATGACCCCCCTACAATCCAGGAGGAGACAGTCAGTGACCTGCTGCATCACACAGACACACACCAGTCTATGGGCCCAGACGGGATACACCCGAGGGTGCTGAAGGAGCTGGCTGGGGTGCTCGCCAAGCTGCTTTCCATCATTTACCAGCAGTCCTGGCTGACCAGGGAGGTCCCGACAGATTGGGAATTGGCCAGTGTGACACCCATCTATAAGAAGGGTCGAAGGATGATCCGGGAAATTCCAGGCCTGTCAGCTTGACTTCAGTGCCCGGGAAGCTGATGGAGCAGCTCATCCTGAGTACCATCACACAACACATGCGGGACAACCAGATGCTCAGGCCCAGTCAGCATGGGTTTGTGAAAGGCAGGTCCTGCTTGACAAACCTCCTCCTTCTACGACAGGACAACCTGATTATTGGGTGAGGGAAAGGCTGTGGATGTTGTCTGCCTTGACTTCAGTAAGGCCTTTGACACCGTTTCTCACAGCATTCTCCTGGTGAAACTGGCTGCTCGAGGCTTGGATGGGCACACGCTTTGCTGGGTAAAAAACTGTCTGGAGGGCCAGGCCCAAAGAGTTGTGGTGAATGGATTTAATTCCAGTTGATGGCCGGTCACAAGTAGTGTCCCGCAGGGCTCAGTTTTGGGGCCACTCCTGTTTAACATCTTTACTGATGATCTAGACGAGGGGATCGAGTGCACCCTCAGTCAGTTTGCAGGTGACCCCAAGTTGGGTGGGAGTGTTGACCTGCTCGAGGGTAGGGAGGCTCTGCAGAGAGACCTGGACAGGCTGGAGCCATGGGCTGAGGCCAACTGGGGGAGTGTCCATAAGGCCAAATGGCAGGGGCTGCCCTTGGGCCACAACAACCCCCAGCAGCACTACAGGCTTGGGGAGGAGTGGCTGGAGAGCTGCCAGTCAGAGAGGGACCTGGGGGTGTTGATTGACAGCCCGATGAACAGGAGCCAGCAGTGTGCCCAGGGGGCCAAGAAGGCCAATGGCATCCTGGCTTGTGTCAGCAATAGCGTGGCCAGCAGGGACAGGGAAGGGATCTTACCCCTGTACTGGCACTGGGGAGGCCGCACCTCGATTCCTGTGTTCAGTTTTGGGCCCCTCACTCCAAAAAGGACATTGGATGACTCGAGCGTGTCCAGAGAAGGGCAACGGAGCTGGTGCAGGGTCTGGAGCACAGGTCGTACGAGGAGCGGCTGAGGGAACTGGGGGGGTTTAGTCTGGAGAAGAGGAGGCTGAGGGGAGACCTCATCACCCTCTACAGCTACCTGAAAGGAGGTTGCAGAGAGCTGGGGATGAGTAAGAGATTACCAAGAGTAAGCGATAGGACAAGAGGGAATGGCCTCAAGTTGCTCCAGGGAAGGTTTAGACTGGTTATTAGGAAGTATTTCTTTCCAGAAGGGGTTGTTAGGTGTTGGAATGGGCTGCCCAGGGAGGTGGTGGAGTCCCCATCCCTAGAGGTATTTAAGTGTAGGGTCAACATTAATGCTGAGGGATATGGTGTAGTTGGGAACCGTTGATGTTGGGTTGATGGTTGGACTGGATGATCTTCAAGTTCTTTTCCAACCTAGACAATTCTGTGATTCTGTGGCGGGGGAGATCGTGACCATCGACTCAATTCAAGGCCAAAAAAATTTGCCCCTGCCCCATGCAAGGAGCATGCACGGTAATTTACACAGCCAGTGGGGCCAATTTAAATATAACTAACCAACAGCAGCAAGTGGAATGGTAATTACAGACCAATGAGCATAAACTTGGGATAGGTTTTTTGCCAATCATGTAATGAGATAAATAGTCTGCAGTTCCTTTGTTTGGTGTGCTAGCTTTGTGGAACTACCCCTTAGCACCCATCTTTGAGCAACTATGGAATAAATTGGTATCTTGGCTCTGTGTGTGAGATTGGCTTTTGCAAGCGGGCAACATTGTGAAAGGCATTCCCTTCTTAATTCATGCATACTCAAAGCCCCTCCCCCACAATATTAGGCTGAGTGCCCCATTTTGAGAAGCTCTGCATTCAAATTAAAAAACCCACTATGCACATTGTTTGGTTTTTACTGCAAGACACTAGTCAAGTTATACAATTAAGCATACTCATACACATTGGCAGGGTGGTTTTGAGCTTTTTTCACCTTGTTATTTTAGTTATATTATAAACTACTTACCCTCACTCAGCTGATCCACTGACTGTTTAGAAACTAAATTGGACAAGGATTCCACCACTGTGCTTCTTTTCCTGAATCTAAATCAGTTGTATATGGAACAAAAGAAACCCACACAGCATGAGTGACATTTCAACACAAACTTGAACTTAGTTATTTATAATTATTAACCATTTCCAACAACAATTTATAGACATTCTTCATAAAATGATGATTTAACAACTGCAATTCTTTGAGCAGTCTAGTAACGGCCACTGGTATGCACCTAGACTCAGAAGCCTATCTAACCTTAACTGATGTTCCAAGCATGCATTTAATTTACTTTAAGTGTACAATAGCTTCCACTCCACTTCCACCCACCAGCTGCAGAGGTCTCTCTGACACTGGGCAAAGCCACATGAGCAAGACTTCAAAGAGTTATGAATTACTTTTTTCCATTTCTTAAAACTCACACTCAGAATTCGAATGAAAAAAATCAAAACGAGATCAATTTTCAACATAAGTTAAAAAGTAAATACTCGGTATTTTATGGAGTTTTATACCAGATGAGACACCAGAACAGTCACATATTTTACTTTCAACAGATCTCAACTGTCTCTGTTAAAATGTTAGTTTATTTTAGTACAGCATTCCAAAACCGAATTTATTACTATTTAAAAACCACTTGGCTTTCTGAAGCTAAAGAAACAATTCTATGTTTAAAAAAGGCATGTACTTTGTAAGCCATGTACTTTGTAAACCAGGAAGTCATTAATTACAAACACACAGCATTAGCTGGTTTGTTTATACTACCCTGCACATTGAAAAACGCAGGATCCCGACAAGAGATTAGGACAATGCAGCTTAATATAATGCACACCAAATAAAAGGTCAATTATGGCACCTGTAGTTCCACGAATTCTTTACACTTGAGTGTTTGATTGCCTTTATCTTGCATTTTTGTGAGTTTTGTGACAGACTAGACCAGAGCACTTACACAGAAAAGTTTGCATTCTGCAGAGATGGATGTCCTTATTGGTACTATCTGAAGTACAAAGAGGCACTTAATTTTCAGGTATACTAAACAATATACTTGAGATGAAACTGTGAATCAGTAGCAGACCTGAAAGAGGCAGAAACTGCTGACCCTTTATTTTCTTCGGGTAGTATCTGATAATTTTGCCCCATTTCTTTTTCTTTTGTTTCTCATTGCTAAAGAGGTGATGTTAAACCTCTAAATATAAAACATATGGGGTTACTTTCTTTGGAGACAATTCATGATAAATTATGGCCTCATCAATATGATGAAGAACCACTACATTAGAATAAAGCACTAATTTCTGGTTTTGTCAGAGCTTGTTAAGCGCTTTAGCTTTGACCATGCACTATCTAAGTTTTTTAATTAAAAAAATAGAAGTCACTAATAATGTCTATTTTCTACTCTAGTTCATTGTTCCAAGCAAGACAGAAGCAAAAGGTTCCAACCATTCTTGATGGGAATTACAGACCTTTATTTTAAAAGTAAACTGAACACATTTGTAACAAGAATTTTTTTAAATTGCTTTGGTTTTAGAAGAAACCTTAGTACAAGTTTAATCCTATTAAACTATTGTGTCCACTTTTGAAAACAACTTAAAAAAAAAAATTTCATGATGGAAGTGAAAATTCAAAATATGGGTTTTTAAATTGTTGATCCCCATGAAAAACAAAAAGTCACAGGCTGAAATAGTTCAGGCAGTTCAACCATGTAGTGTCAGCTTATGTGTAGGTCTGTGTAGTCAGCCAACTATTTAACTAACTATAGAGGCTATACGTGCCTGACACATCTGTTGTTTCTGAAATACCAGGAAACATACCCTTACCAATAATAATTGGATAGTGGGACTTACTCCACCTTTCCAAATTTAGATCACTATCATACACAAAATAGCCTGCTTTGAAAGCGGAGAGACAGATGGGTTATCTTACAAAGAACACTTAGTAGATTAAATACCTCATAAACGTTCACCTACCTTTGGCAAGTTTGCAAAGCTTCCTTCATTGTAGAAATTCCCACTTGTATATCCTGCTGTTCAAAGGTCATAGCAGCTTGCATAACTAAAATAGTGCTGTACCCAAGGGCATGGTACATACTATCTTTAGACCTAGGGCAAACATATAAGTCTTGTGTATTTAAGCAAAACTTTTAATTACAATACAAAAGTAAATGCTATGACACTTCCATTAATTTGTGAAAAGACAGAATAATAAAGCAGGAAAGTAGTGGACATTGGAACATAACCTAGCAAGTATCATCTTACACTGGGTGCTACATCTCTGCCTCCACAGGACACTGTCGCAGCAAGTTCCAGAAAATACCCAAACTGGGTTACACAAACATTTACACTTAATTATATCCCATTTATATATAGTCTGCTGGTATATCTATTTAATTTAGCTAATTAAACCTTGACATAAATAGTCATTCATCTGCTTTCATTCAACATAAGAAGGACATCCTTCTAACATTACTACTTGATCAAAGACACAAAAGTCTGCATTTCTGTCACAGAAGTCAGTACACACATGCTCAGTCTTGCATAAAAAGCTGTGTTGAACCAATCTGACTTTCACAAGTTAATTACACAGGGTTTTTTTTTAAAAAAAAAGTTGTTGGAAAGTAGCTGCAGGAGGTCATATACTCAAACCTACCAGTTGCAGCAGCACTACTGCCAACATTATGTCAAGCAACCTCAGAGTTTTTTTAATGAAGTTTCAAGACGTTCAAGAAAATGAGGATTGCATACCCCTCTGATAGCCTCTCTGGTTCTGTACTATCAATGTACCTTTTCCTAATGTCCAGTTTGAAACTCCTAAACCTCAATTTGTGGTGACTGCCTCTTCTTTTACCATCTGCCACTATAGGGAAGGATGTCCTTGCAACTTCCCCTCACTAGCTCCAGACCACTATTAGATTAATGCCCAACTAATTAGATTTTTGCCAAACTAAAACAAGCCCAGCTCTCACAGTCTTAATGAGTAAGTAATATGTTGTAGTCTTCTAGCAGTGCTGCTAGCGCTCCATTGATACTCTCCAGTTTCCTCAAATTTTTCCTTCCCCCTAAATCAAGGGGTCACCCACCAAATACAGTTTTGAAGACAGGAACCTTTAGCAGAGTCAAGGAAGATAAAGAACCCAAGGGTCACGTTCAGACAACATGGACTTCATGTTGATGTCCAGTACATTCACACTTTCCATAAAATGTTTACATTATTTAAGGACTTAAGTTTAACTTCCATTACAAGGCTATTTTTCAGTTAAACAATTAGGATTTTTCTTTTTTAAAGGTGGCTTTTTTTTCCTCACTAGGCTAGGTCATCCTTTGCAGATTAGCTGAATATGCTATATAATAAGCTCAAAGTCTATTTGCTGCCAGGGACTCAAAGCATCAAACCCATGGAGTTTAGAATATTTTTTTTTCTTTGCAGCAAATGTCAGCTGAAACAAATACCTCACTGTACATATATATATATATATATATATATATATATATATGAAACGTACAAAACACATTTGGGTAATACCTCTGTGTGTGTGTGTGTGTGCATGTATTTGTATTACTAAATACACACATGCACAATCCTTGCCTGTAGAACTTAGTATTTCGCAATAATACCCAAAAATAGTTTTAGTATATAAAAGTGCGGGTGGGCCCTCTAAAGCATTCCTCTGTTGCAAACACTGCATAATGTTCAGGTAAGAGAGCTTGGGTGTAAGTAGAGCTAATCTGGGAAGGTGTTATTCCTGCCTACCTTCTCTACACTTGAGCTCTCCATACCACTAAAAGCAAGTACTTGATAGCTGTGTCATCCTCCCAGGGTTTCATTTAGTGGTGGTGTTCTACCTGTCCATACTACTCACCTAACACCAGCAATCCATGATTCTTAATCCACCCTTACTATCACCAAACTACAGAACAATCTTTACCTTGCTCTCCTAACACAACCTACAGGTGCCTTTCACTGTCACATCCCTCAACATCATACACATCCTTGAGACTGACAGGAGAAGAACAATGAATGGGATTCAGATCCCAGTCCTGAAGAACTGCCACCCCGACTGCCTTCCCATGCAGTCACAGGTAAGACGGGTTTATCCTACAAACCTGTCAGTATTCTTTAGTTCCCTACATCTGCACTGCCATGCTTCTCTTCTCAGTGGAGCAAAGGCAATAGGGGAAAACAGGCAGAGTTAGAAGATCAAAAGGTCAGCTTTAATGGTAAACACTACTGTGACTCAAATGTAATATAAAAAGCAAGAAAAAGAGTATTCTGAAATTTTGTTCCAGCTTTGCTGTCTTGTCAAAAACAGTTCTGTTGTACAAATTCTCTGATCAAAGACCCACTGGATAAGGTCCTTGCTCCCCTGCTTTTCCCATCTGCATGAGGAAAGACAGCTTGAATGATAAACTCTAACAGAACAATTCAGTGCTTCATTAACAATTTGTGATGGTCTTCAGTAGAAACAAATTGCACTGCTAAAACCCCAAGACACTGAGAAATGCTTTTGGACAAAAGGGAATAAATGAAAACTACTACCTTCAGAGGCCTTAAATTAATCTTCAGCTACCAGAGAGCATACTTTACACTACCTGTTTACAGTAACTTCAGCAAATAACAGGACCTCACCAAGGACGAAGTAGCTCCAGGGCTTCAGAGAACTTATTGTTTAGAAATAAGTTCAATGCCATTGAACATTCTTCCAGAGCACACTTGAGATCCATCTTGGTTGCCCTAAAAAAAGATTCTTAATTTAATCAAACTGTAAATTTAAACATGAAAGTAATTTTTTTCCTCTTATATAACATTGAAGGTATTCTGTGAGGATCTTATCACTCATTTTTTAAAATCTAGCTTTACACAAACATGTCATATGTTTAACACTTTATCCATGCTACATGTGTGTGCCTATTTCCTTATTTAGGTGACATTTATGGCTTTGTCCTCCTTTTTTTACCAGTCAATATGCAATGGGGTCATATTTGCTGCTTCTTATATAACACAAACACTCAAAATTTAACACTGTGTCCAAGCTCTCAATTCTCTGTATCACTACTCTGTATTCACATCTAAATCTCAAGAGAGAGATGACAAAATAATATTTTAATCTAAGCAAGCAGTAAACAGACACTCACACTACAAACAGCTATGCCAAAAATAGTCCTGTCAGAAGCCTGCAGCCATGCAAAAAGCTTCTGTTCTTCCTAACTCTTTCAAGTAAAATCACTTGCAGTTGCTTAAGAGGGAACCATCTAACACAAGTGCTACCTTGGTCAGTTTTGTCTGAAGGACTCAAAAGCACTAACAAATTGCTCCATGGGCAGAACTGGTGACAAACTGGATATTCGTGGTAGTGACTAATGGCTAGAAACTACACAGCCTTCAATGTGCACAGCTGGGTCTGAAAGAGATAATCTGTCTGCAGCTTTAAAACAAAAGGTTTAGGCTCTATAATGGGCTTTATCCAAGCAGTGGTAAGCAAGATATCACGTCAATTAGATGAATATTTAAGTGCTGATCAGAAGAGAAGCCTGAAGGAGAAATCTAAGAAGAGAAATGACAGAGGAGTGCAGCTGTTCTAAACCTGATGGTAATACACACACACACAAAACAAACAGAGAAAAAGGGAGACTTGAAAATATGACTTTGCATTTCTCAGATTCAACTTGAACAATATTTGAAAAATTAGAACATCAGACATTAAACTGTAAATGCAAACCATCACTTCATGTTCATATCTTGCATGGATTTACAGGCCAAAATGCAAATTGCCTTACAATTCTAACACTGAGAACCTTACATCATTCCCTCCTGAAAAATGAACCTATAGGCCAAGAAAGCTAGGTAGGAGACACACAGAGTATCTTTATCTCCTCACATGGCAAATTCACACCTTCTACAGTTTAGGAAAAAAAATTCCCAACAATTAAGGCCAACTGCAAACTCGTTTTGTATTTTGCATATTCTAGCTTCTAAATCCATAAAACAAAATAACCTAGTTGAGCAATTTAGTTTGGGTACCTGCCAAAGCCTCAGCCTATAACACCTCTTCATACTTGCAAAGTAAAGTTCTTTCCAGAGCCTGAAGCAAGTGAACCATAGACTCTAGGTTACAAAGCATCCTGCCTATTTTGCAAAGAATGGATTTAGCACTTCACACTAAATCTTCTCAACTGGTTAAGGTTTCGCATTAACAAGAATCATCAGAAGTGTGCTCAAGATCCTACACTTCCTACTCAGTAAAGCAGAATTAAAATGTTTATCAAAAGAAATATGAAGAAAGCAATTGTATTTTAGTGCATTCAGACTCTCAATATGTAAACAAATCTGTTCAAATTAAAATATTTCTATAGCAGTAGATAAATATATGTGTTTATGTGTCCTCTTCAAATGTCTTAAATAGTATGCCCTCCAAAGAACAGTGTTAAGAAATAAAAAAGAAATAAAGTCACTTATAATGACTGGAAGTTCTGTAAAACACTTAATTTTATTAGCTAATTCCATGAATACCATCTGCTAACAAATCACTTTCAAAGAACTAATTTTTAGCTAGATTTAGAGGCTGTTTTTTTACTGGTACATGAGCAAGGACCCGAGTTTAGCATCTCAATAACATGCTGCCACCACCACTGTTTGTTCCTGTGTTTCCATATCCTCATTTCATATTTTATTTTTAGGAAACTATGTTTCACTCAGTCCATGACTGGTTAAATTACACATTTCATTTGTTCTGCCTTTTCCACTACGAAAAATGGCTACTTACTTTTAAATAACTTCTCAAGAAGGGAAAAAAAATGGGGGGTATTTTCTTTTTTTAAATACAAAATTTACAGTGATTGTCTTAAAAAAATCCAGTAATCAAAGCTGAGATCTACCAGATGGCAAGATTGAAGTTTTTACTCTCATACTTGTGCACCACAACTATTTACTGACTAGCACTGAAACAGTTCCCTGTTCAGGGGTCTTCCAATACAAATCCCAGTGGCCATACTGGGGACGGGCGGGGGTAGGAGTGGAAGAAATCTTCAAAATCCTATAGGACAGATGGACCTTCTGGTCCCCTCCCCCCACTACATGTTTGCTGCTAACTTTATGGTGGGCTAAGAACTCTGTGAAATACTAGAACAGAAAAACCCAACACAAGGCAATGACCTGCTACACACAGTATGGAGAAACTATGTACGGTGATCTGAAGCAAAGAGAAAAGAAGAGACCCACAAGTGAAAGATGCACAATTACACAGTTCATAAAAGAATCTGAGGGAAGGTGGATCATTCATACCAGGTAATTTAACAACTGGTTGGTTACTACTTTGTTCACTTAGTTGTAAAATATTTGGGTTCAGCCTAGAAAGACTAAGAAGGTTTCCTACCAGTTCATGTGAAAAGTAACAGCAAATAAATAGATTATAGTACCCCATCTCTGTACCATTTTTCTGAATATAAGGATCAAAACGCAAGGGCAATGCCCCGTTTCCACTACCTCACTAAGCTTCATCTTAGTGAAAAGAAACACATTTTTTGTATTTGTATGCTGCACATCTGCACCCTTCAAATACCCTGCCATCAGCACCTGCTGAACTTCCTCTGTAAGGAAAATCTAATATTTATTTTGTATAATGTAGCCATGGACATGCCATTTTTTTAGCTGTTTTCAGAGAGGACCATCGGCCATCAGGCTCCCAAAATGCTACCATGCCACCAACTCTAGAATCACTATAGTACATATCAGTATTTGTAAAACGATTCCATAAACAAAGTTCCTTAAAACAACAAAGCCCAGGCATCCTGTCAAAACTTCCTTTCCTACTAAATGGGTAAGCAGCAGATCTCTCCAGCATGTTGCTATCAGGTTCTTTTCTTGTGTTGCAGAGTAGTTCCCGCACTGCTGCTTTTATGGGTGACCAATGCTTGCAGACAACGCAAACAGTATTCCTTATGTCAATAGATTTACTGTTCCTTACCTCAAGGAAGCTTATGAAATTATTCGGATATAGAATTTGGGAAGCCAGTTTTCTCAGACTCTTGTTTCTGATAAGTGAATCATATCCTCTCCCAAAGAGTCTCACTCCCGTTTAATTACTCTTCACATGTATTTTCTACTGTTTTCCTACATACTGCGGCAGAGGAACATAACCAGAAGGAATCACTCCAACCCAGATTCACAACTTGATAGCAGAATGGTGAGAAGAACGGAGCATACCGACTCAGAGGCAGCTTGGCTATCTTCACTGGCAGACAAGAGTATTTCTATGCAGAGGCTCAGAAAAAGCACATTTCCTCCTCTCCTCCCAAAACATCACAAACCCATTTCTACAGCAAGTTAGCAGACTGATGAACAGTTCAGCGAGCGATGCTGACTCACACTGACTCATGCTCTTCTCCTTCTGACTCAGTCTTATTTTGGCAATCTAATTTTTTTCCCTACCTCCACATACTAGAATTGACAGAAACTTAACACATTTTATCACCTCAGATGAGCATATGCTTTAATTTATTCTGGAGTAGACTAAATTAACACTACTTCAGTGAAATTACTATGGATTTTACACCCAATGAATACAGTTCACTTCTAAATTAAAAAAGGAAAATAAAAACGTGCTATATTGGGTGTTAACACAAAGACAACAATGTGGCATTACAAGCAGAATAAAACACCACTGTGTTACTGTTTAGATGCTTTAAGAATACTTTTCCCAAGCAGCATTTTTGAACATTATCTTCTCACTACTATTCCAAACTTCTTTTATGAAAAAAAGAATAAACGTTTTGAATTCCAGTAATACCTTATGTATCTTGAGCTTGGTGCTGAGCTACTCATGAAACTGTTCTAATACAGCAGGGATTAGCAGCTTTAAGTAGGTTCTTCTAATCAACTACTTGGAGCACAATAGAAACAAAGAATACTGACTTAAAAACCCTGAAATGTATTGAGATAGTCACTGTTAGGATGACAGTTCTCAGGATGTACACAAAGCAAGAGCATTAGTAATTTAAAATGTCAAAACAAGTTTACAGCTTATTAAGCTTTCTTTCCCTACAGATTAATTAAAAATGGGTGAATAACTACTAACCTAAAACAAATGAAAAAAGTAATTGCTCTAGTATTTAAAAGAAAGTTACTTAAACATGTAATGAGTTAGGCAATAACACCTATCTGTCCACACTAGCAGAGTAAGAAGGCATTTCTGGAAGGCAGTTATATAGCTCAGTTAATACCTAACTCGGTACATGCTGCTGGTTTTGTATCTGCAGGAGACTTAGTCAGCTTTTAATATAATCACCCCTGGTGCAATAATGTACCAGCTCTTCTTGAAATGGGATTCAAGAGCTAGAAACAGAAGAACTGAAGAAAATTTTACCTTTAATCTAACTGTATTTTCCATATTTTAAATCATATATTTAGAACTAAGTTCCACATCATTTTATTAACCTTAGCTGGACTTAAATGTGCAAGAAGTACTTTGCATGAATAGGGATCACAGAATTCAGTTTCTGAACTTCTAGAACCATTTGTTGGGTCTTTTACAACACACCCAAAATAATCAGCCTCATCCGATGAACAAAATTTAATTGCCAGTGACTTAGTTTTGTGCAGCTACTGTTCTCACTGACAAAAGTCTCACTGGGCTACAGTTACTGAAAATATCTCAAGTTATGAGTGAGAGCAAAGCAAAACTTCTAAAGGGAAAAAAATGTGAAACTGCAATAACAATTTAGGCTTTAAGATACCCA